CGAGACTACACAAGAGGTGCTTTGAATGCAGCCACAGCTGCGAGAAGGGAAGTGGAGACTATGAACGGTAGGTTGAACATGTACGCTGGGAAAATGGATGGCATACAGTGGCGTGTGAACGAGACTTGGGATCGTTTGGGAAATATGGAAAGTACTCTTCAGGCCATTCAGGCCGAGCAAGCACAGCAGTCTGAGTTGCTGAGACAAGTCCTATCTCGCTTCCCACCTCCTCCTGAAGATGATGCTGCAGGTCCGAGCTCCACACCACAACCACCGCATTGATCAGGGGAGTTTTGTTAATCTCTTATTGCCAATTTGGTCCATGTTTTAAATTCTGCCATTTTAACTTTACATTTTACATTGAGGACAATGTATTGTATAAGTTTGGGGGATGGTAGCATAATTTCAAACAAATATTCGGCATGTAATTATTTGCATATTCACACTCCATCGTTAATTTTGACAAGTTTTTGCATGATGCATGCTTGATGAGTGAATCTTTATGAACGTTTGCATGCTTGTGAGGGGTTTGGTAGCCTTGCCGGCTATGATGTGATTATTGGACATGTATAAACTAGAAACTGTGGATTTAGTGCAGGATTTAATTTGCTAATACTTGTTGATGCACTGCTTGACACTCTTTTGCACGCCACTCATGTCACGTGTTAAGTTATTGATTGGAATTTTAGAATAAATTAGGAGAAACCTAGAATAACCCTCTATAACATTAACCCGTAATATCACTTTAGATAGTTTGGAGATGATTGATCCATTGTAGGAAAACATGGAAATAAGTGGGGGCTCCGTGCATGAAATTATAATGTGTGGATTGTTTAAACCCGAAAGGTGAGAAATAGGTGAAAGCTTTAAGTGAGGATGGTTTTAGAAGTCAAATGTCTAGAAAAACAAAGAAAGGTCATAAAGTAAAAAAAAACTAGAAAAGTATCACTTCTCTCAAAAAGCCTTTATGACTCGAGCAAGTAAGTCGGTAAGGGTTTAAAACCTGATGCCCTAAAGCCAACTGGTTTGGGAGTCATCGGCCTAAAGCTCGTTACATGGGTCATATAGAAAGCAAGAAAAAAGGAGAGTTGATAAAAAGTCATCTTGTCGAGCCTTTATAACTCGAGTGAATAAGACTGCAAGGGTTTAAAACCCGGTGCCCTAAAGCCAATTGGTTTGGGAGTCATCGCCTAAAGCTCGTTACATGGGTTATATTGAAAGCAAATGAGAAGATGACACACACAAAAAAAAAAAAAAACGTAAAAATAAAAGCCCTCGTTGGACATTTGGTTGATAGAACTATAACCTCAATGCAAAGCAAGTAGCTTAGTTTAATCCTAAAGGTTGAAGCAATCAAAAATAAGGAGAGTCTCTACTTGTTGATATGTGAACTTGTAATGGTAAAATCTATCCAAACTAAGAGAGGGTAAGGATTAGAATTGTTTAAACTCCTAACCTTAGAATACACCCCGGAGAAATTGTGTGAAAAGAATACATTTGGGGATTGTGTATCTCTTGAGTGACGTAAGGATAAATTTGACCACTATGGGTCTGGAATAACTAATCATAAGCTTGAAATGTTGGCATGAGTTCACACACACACGTTGAGTATTGCATTTCATGAGTAAAGGTTGATTCAATTCTCTCACTCTTGATATTGTTTCTATTATTATTACTAAGTCCAATCCTGAGACACGGCAAGCTATTAAGCCATGTTTGTTTAGCATTAAGTTACTACATTGTTTGAGGACAAACAATAGTTTAAGTTTGGGGGATTTGATAAGTGTGTTTTTACACACTTATTTAGCTCACAAACATGACTTAAACATGGACAAAGTAGTTGAATTGTGACTTAATCTTATTAAATTCATGCAATGTAGGTGTTTCTATGGAAAAGATGGAATTCAGAAGAAAAGAGCCAAAAAAGGACCAAAACGGAACAAAGCGATAGTTCGGGGACCAAAGGTGCAAATATTGGAAAGTTGAGCTAAAGTGTAGAATTAGAATGAAAATATACCAAGTGTGAGATTGAGGATGATAAAAGACGATTGGAGGAAGAAAGAAGTAACATTGGACTGAATTGAAGAAAAGTGAAAGATGAAGGACTAAATTGCAATTAATCAAAAGATGAGCCGAGCAAATGATCAAGGAATTGATTGACCCAAATATCAATTAGGAGTCAATATGTGATAATGGAACAAAGGAAAGAAAGAAAAGAGATCAAGAAAAGAGAAAACGAAGTTCAGGGACCAAAATGACAAGGTTGTAACTTTACAACCTTGCGGCCTCATGTAACTATACCATACGGCCGCACATGGTGTTGCAGGGTTTTAATTGAGCAAAAAAAAAAATTGAACCATGCGGTCGCATGGCCTTAATTTTGAAAAAAAAATTTGAACTTCTGTTTTTAATTGAAACTCTTTCGGGGCTCCGTGAGGACATGATATAAAAGCCAAAATTCATCAGAAATAGGGTAGAACGTCCAGGGAGAAGAAGAATACAACTTTTGGAGGCAAGGAACACGAACTTGAAGCCGATTTCACAAGGATTCAAAGGGGTTTTCAAGGTTTTATTCAAGATTTCAGATTTCAAGAACTTTCATACGGGTGTTATTCTTTCTATTTATTAATTTCATTTTTTTTTCTGTAATTCTTCTAGGCTAAGTTTTCAATTACTAGGTGATCGATGAACCGTTGTTTGTTATTTTAATTCTATATTTCATGAATTTAATATAAAGACTCGTTGTATAATTTGATTGATTTACATGCATTAATTTTTTCCCGCAATTAGTGGCCAATGATTGTGTGAGTGTTGATGACTTATTTCTTACAATCGAGAGAAGTGGAATAGGTTCAATAAGGTGTAAATTAACATAGGGTCCGATAGGGGATAGAGATATACCCCTATGCTTTATGCAATTCTTAAATTGTTCACAAAAATACATGCTTTCTTGTATGTTTGCATCATCCATAGAGATATAGGCTGGTGGTGTGCAAGAATAGGTCTAATATATATCGAGAGAGTATATTGGATAGAATTAGGAACATTAAATTGGTAAATTTTCATCGAATCATTAATTTTATGAAATTAGGGTTTTTATAACTTCAATTGGGGATTCGTGATCATAGTGACTTTAGTTTGATTCATTTTAATAAATTAGCTTTTAAACTTGCTTAATTTCATTTACTTGAGTGTTTAAGTTGTTTAATTAGAGAAATTTCGAAGTTAGGGTTTTTTAATTGAAATTAGGGCTTTTTGCATTTAGACTATATTTTCACTCAATTAGGTTCGGTTAAGGTTAGATTATATAGAATTGAACTACTCAATCTCTGAGGGATGATATTCGGACTTTTAAAAATCCACTTTATTACTTGTTATGAACCGTACACTTGCGGTAATTTTAAATCGAAAGAATTATTTCGTGAACAGTTCTTAACTTACCTCCCAAAACTTGCCAAAAATGACTTAAAAACTCCACATCCCTATTCGACACTATGCTATTAGGAACCATATGCAAATGTTCAACCTCTTTAAAGAACAAATCAGCTATATGTGTAGCATCGTTGGTTTTGTGACACGGTATAAAATGTGTCATTTTACTAAACCTATCTACCACCACAAAAATTGAATCTCGAACTTTCTTAGTCTTAGGTAAACCCAACACAAAATCTATGAAAATGTCAACCCAAGGTTCACTAGGTGTAGGTAATGGCATATATAATCCTTGAGGAAAAACTTTAGACTTAGCCTTTTTACAAGTTATGAATCGACTACGAATTCTCCCAACATCAATTTTCATCTTAGGCCAATAGAAATGCTCCCCTAACATCTCCAAAGTCTTTTGTACCCTAAAATGCCCCATTAGTCCACAACTATGTGCTTCCCTCACCAATAACTCTCGCATTGTACAACTTGGAACACATAACCCGTTTTCTCGAAACAAATAACCATCACGTTTAAAGAACTTATCAATTGCCCCTTTGTCACATGACTTGTAAATATTGGAAAAAATTAAATCAGTTTTATACATGTCCTTAACATGTTCAAAACCAAGCAATCTAACACAATGAAGTTATTAAGGCATACTTTCGAGATAACGTATCCGTCACTACGTTTTCTTTACCTTGCTCGTACTTGATTACGTAGGGGAATGTTTCAATGAATTCCATCCATCTAGCATGCCTCTTTTTCAAATTTCCTTGACCCTCTTGTTCATCGCCCCAATGAAAAGCCACACTTTTCTTAACGACTTCGGTAAGAGGTGAATGATTGTGCTAAAATCTTTTACAAGCCTCCTATAAAAACTAGTCAAACCGTGAAAACTCCTAACCTCCGTATGGTTTTAGGTGTAGGTCAATCTTTAAGCTTTAATCTTTTCTTCATCTATTTCTACCCAGTTAGCACTAACCACAAAATCTAGAAAGACAACTTTTTTCCATACAAAATTGCATTTCTTGAAATTAGCATACATGTGTTCTTTGCTTCACATTATAAGCACATATCTCAAGTGTTCCACATGCTCGTTAAGGTTTTTGCTACAGATTAAAGTGTCATCAAATAAATCACAACAAATTTTTTCACATAAGCACGTAAAACATGATTCATCAGATGCATAAAAGTGCTTGGTGCATTAGTGAGTTCGAACGGTAAAACCAACAATTCATATAAACCATATTTAGTTTTGAATGTAGTTTTTCATTCATCACCTTCTCTCATGCGAATTTGATAGTCTCCACTCTTAATATCAATTTTGCTAAAAATACATGCACCATACAATTCATCCAACATGTCATCTAACCTAGGGATTGGGTGATGATACTTTACCGCTCAGTTATTGATGGCTTTGCGATCTATGCAAATTCTCCATGACCCATCTTTCTTTGGCACAAGCAACATTGGTACAACATATGGACTCATGCTCTCCATTACATAACTGATTACGCCCAAAGAATAATGCCGTAGTTGTAGTATAGTTTTAGGATGTCGTATCTATAGGGAGATGGAAAATAATCCAAAGAATCAAAAGCTAGGATTTTGTTGTGATTTTATGTAAATGTAATGTGTCAATTGAAATAGAATTCAATTAACAATGTATAAATTAAGGAAATTTAAATTAATGCGTGAAGCAGTGAAGAGTTGGAATTCCCTCGATTAGATTGGATCAATCAACGCCAATTTTGCATGAAGATAATCAATTAAAGGTTTTTTTAATCCTAACACTTTAATTGGAATATCTACACGTTCAAACCCCTTTTTAATTCCTTAAGAGTCCAAATCTAGCTTTCTTGCACAACATAATTCCATAATTGTTTATTGAAATTAGATCCAAAATCGATCATATGCCTCAAGCATATGATAGTAAAAGATCACACCAACAAACGGTTTGAAATTGAAAATCAATAAATACTTTGATCATTAGATGAAAAGCACTTGATTGAATTCATGAAAGTCTAATATGAATTAACCCAATCTCAAACATGTCCAACAAACATAAGAAATCTAATTCCAAATTTTTTAACAAAGAAAAAACAAATTACATGCAAGAAAGAATGTTGAAAAAAAAACCAAATATAACCGAGTTCTTTCGTGGCTTCACAATTAATTTAGTTTTCCATGGATTTCTTGAGCCAAACTTGACAGAAAATTGATAGGAGATGGAAGAAAGGCGTTCTTGGACGAGATTAGGGCTTAAAAATGTGTGCCACACAAGTTTCCATAAGCGTTCGCGTCAAAATAGGAATTTGGGATCTCGCCCTCGAAAATACCCATGTGGCCACATGGTTATAAGCCATGCGACCGCATGTTCAACCAAAATGCCCTCAGAAGTTCTCGGGAGGTATCTATGCGACCGCATGGCTTTATAGCAATGCGACCGCATGGTTGTCACTACTTTCTTTGCCTGATAGTTTTTAATATTTTGGCCATAACTTTTCCTCCCAATATCCGATTGAGGTGATTCAAGTTGTATTACAAAGATAACTGAAAGGGCTACAACTTTTCTTCAGATGTCACCTTTGAATTCGATCATTTGAAATGTCAAAAAGAGGTCTTAATATGAGACTAAAAACGGTGAGTAACTTTTTTCAATTGGGAATTGATGTATGATCAAACTTTGACTGTGTTTCACTTTGCTCCCCAAACTTTCATTTACTTTCACTTTTGGTCCTTTTTCACTTTTTCTTCTATCTTCCACCTTTTCTACCAAAATGCAACCTGAATCAAAACATAAATATAATGAGTGCATTTTGGTATCAAATAATCACATGAATGCAATAATTAAGATGGAGAAATATTATTTTTTACATTCTTATCCACCCCCCAACTTGTTTATTGCTAGTCCTTAGCAATTCAATGCAGAACAAGCAAACGATTGATTAGACTGTGGTACAAGTAAAATTATTAAATTCCAACTTAACCGCAATTCATGTTCTTTTCAAACTCAACACCACAAGAACTTAACAATGCAATGATCACCAAGATATTAAAAACACTTGTCAAATGTGTGTGTGTGTGTCAAGCCATAGCCATCTTACCGCCAACCTAACAAATGCAACATCAAGTATGTCTCAAGCTAAAGGTTCAACCCCATAACTCACGGGTATCAAAGTGTTTAGTGTGATTTTCTCTCTATGGAGCTGGGAAATGGTATACACTCATAACTCGGATGCTTAAATATTTATGAATAAGCAACAAACAAAAATTGATCTTGTGATAGACATACTTCTAAATGAGAATTCATCCACTTTTTACTTCAACCATACTTGGGATCAAAGTAGTCAATGTAAAGGGTTGTAATGCAGTTTGAGTAAAGCTATATGAAAGGAGGGATATAATGATTCAAAAACTTCCAATCACATATCCAAGTGTCGTATCAAGCCTTTCAATGGATCACATCAACACATTCTTCATTACTTTCAACCCCCAAAATCAATCAAAAATTTTTCTTTTCTTTTCTTTTTCTTCTTTCTTTTTGTTTTTTTTATTTTTTTGAATAACCTTCCCTTCTTCTAATTTTAACTTTTTTTCACTTCACTTGAGCACTTATCAACTTTTGTCATCTCTTTGCTTCTTTTCTTCATAATTAAACCTCCAACACCAACTACACACTTGGAAGTGAAAAGATGGGCAAATACATGTATAGACCTCACTCCAATGTAAAGAGATAGGGATGGAATAGGTGCATGAAGAAAATTGTTAAGCACATGTGTATTGGCTCAAAATGGCTACTTGGGGTTATAATCATGAAAGAAAATTGGCCTGAAAGGTAAAAATTTAATCCTAAATTGACTGTCATCATTTTTCAAGTAATCAATCATCATGCCACAAATCATGTAATGTTATTCTCAAAACAGTTTCCAATTCCCAAAACCAATGAATGCTTATTGCTTTTTTTAAACTTTATGTTAGCCCTCGATCTTCACTAACTCTCACAAGAAAACTTCAACAAGAAACTCCTCTAACTACATGTGTTAAACTACTATCTTACCATAAGGCTTGTGTGTACAAAATGATTAAGCATATGTCTCTACATCTAGACTCCCATGAAAAATATCAACTCCTAGTAGCATATTTTGTCATTCAAGAACATAAACATGTAGCTAATTAGAGACTTAAAAATTTTAGACCAAAATTCCAAGTAAATCATGCAATTCACAACAAAAATTAAGTGAAACTCTCCCCCGACTAAATATTGCATTGTCCTCAATGCAAAAACATGTTTGCCAAATAAAGTTAAGGAAAGATGTCATCTGAGTGCTGAAGTGAATCGCATGAGTTAAAGTATAGGAAGCCTGAAAGTCTCCAATGGAGAGGGTGATGCAAAAAATGAAAATAAAATGAATGCAATGAGTAATGCATGGACTAAACCTTGAGAGAATGCATAAGTGAAAATAAAAAGAAAGAGAAGGGAACAAACTCCCCTTGGATTGCCTCCCAAGTAGCGCCTTTGTTTATTGTCGTTGGTTCAACCCAATATTGCCTTCTTTAGCCCGTATCCAGCCAGGGCATTGTCAACCTTCGGCACTTTGTACCAAACTCATTGGAAGTAGTCACTGGTGGTGTCCCATAATCTTGAAAATCATCAAAAGTAGCACAAATATCAGCATATTCCCCATTATCATACCTTGTGGAAATTTCAGAATTTAAAAGGAAATAATTTAAAGGGCCGGGGTCAATAAGCGCATGTGCTTCTTCCTCAACGAGTGTATCAATCATGTATGTTTGATGACACTTACCATCTTCCTCAAACTGTTTCATGATGTGAAAGATGTTGACGTCTAAGGTCATGTTCCCAAAAGATAGCTTTATCAAATTATTCCTGCAATTGATAAAAGCGTTAGCTGTAGCAAGAAAAGGTCTACCAAGAATAATGAGAATCTTGGAGATAACATTCACATCTACTTTCACATCAAAAACTAAAAAATCCATAGGGCAGCAAAATTTGTCAATCTCTACTATCACATCCTCAACTACTTCCCTAGGTTTAATAGTGGACCAATCAGCCTGTTGTAGGACCACCGTAGTAGGTTTGATCTCACCTAGACATAACGTCGAGTATATAGCATAAGGCATGATGTTGACACTAGCCCCTAAGTCGAGGAGAGCTTGTAAAATCTCATCGTTCCCTATGATCAATAGGACATCCAGGGTCCTTATACTTTGGTGAGAATTTTGTTCAATTACGACACTCACATGTTTAGCCAAGAAGGTGGTTTTCTTGATATGGTGCTTCCTTTTTATAGTACACAAGTCCTTAAAGACTTTAACATATGTGGGGACCTGGGAAATCACGTGCAAGAGAGATAGATTGACTTTTACTTGCTTGAGGTGCTCTAAGATTTCACTGTGTTCACTAGCAAATTTCGAGGTCGACTTTAGGGCTTGAGGAAAGGGCACTCTAGATGAATTTTTCGGTACCTCCCCACTAGGGGCGCTCTCTTCTATGCTACTGGGATCTTTCTCACTTTCCCTAGGTTTGGAGATTGGTTCTATGACTTTTCCAGATCTAGTGGTTATAGTATTCACTTCCTTCAAGTTGGTCTCTCCTGAACCTGAAGTTTTTGCCATGTGTTACCTCCTAGGGTTTGATTGAGCTTACGTTGGGAATTTTTTATGCTCTCCTACAGCTAAGGCATTAGTTAGTTTGGACATATGAGATTTTATTTCCTTGTTTTCTTCAATAATTTAGGTGATCATAGTCTTAAACTTTTATTTAGTCTTACTCTGTGTCTCTATAAGTGCACGTAGAGTGTCTTCTAAAGAGTTTCTAGACGACGTGAACTGATATGGAGGTGCAGTGTGAGTTTTATTTGGTTGGCCTTCAGATTTCCAGCTGAGATTGGGATGGTTCTGCTACCCAGGATTGTATGTTTCAGAAAAGGGAGAATAAGGCTTTTGGTATGTGCCTAAGACATTGCAGTGTTCCTCATAAACTTCCCTCATCCTAGCGTAGGTAGCACAGTCTTGAGCTGGATGATCAGTTCTACCACAAAAAAACACGGTCCTAAAGATTCAACATGGGATGCATTCTGTGTAGGCTTTGAGTCTTTAGCACGTAAGATTTTGAGTTCTTTAGTAAGGGCATCTACCTTGGCTCTAAGGTCGTCTTCCTCCCTAGGATGATTAATACCAGTGCTATTCAGGTTTCTAGTGGGTCATGAACTATTAGTACTCTCAGTGGCACTAGGTCCAGTCCAGTTATGGGCTTTTTCAGCTAAGTCATCTAGGTAGTCTATGGCCTCATCCGGATTATTTTGCAAAAATTCCTCATTACACATCATTTCAACAAATTGACGCTCCTTATGTAATAATTCCTCATAGAAATAACTCACAATGCGCCAACTTTCATAACCATGGTGGGGACAGAGGGCTTGCAATTCTTTGTACATTTTCCATGCTTGATATAAAGTTTTACTCTCCTTTTGAGTAAAAGAAGAGATTTGCTTTTTCAATGCGGTTGTTTTGTGGTGGGAAAAGTACTTGTTAAAGAATGCTTGAGTGATTTCAGCCCAAGTCCTAATCGAGTGTGGTCTCAATGAATATAGTCAGCTTTTTGCTCTTTCTTTAAGAGAGAATGGGAAAATTTTAAGCCTCACTGCATCCATTGTACCACGTTGATTGTGAAAAGTCGCAACCACCTCTTCAAATCCCCTAATATGGACGTATGGATTTTCATTTTCAAGACCGTGAAAGGTGGGGAAAAGTTGGATCATTCCCCGTTCAAAGTCCATACGGGGCATATTAGGTGGAAATATGATGCATGACGGTATAGATGTGCGTGTAGGATGGAGATAATCGTGCAAAGTCCTAGTTGGTGCCTCTTTATGTTCACTATCAGTCATGATGTTATGTAATGTAATGTCTGTGCCAACATATTTAGTATCAAAGAGAGGGTTAGAAAGTGATTCAAACACTGGTTCAGGCCTCGCAATGAGTTGCCCTTGCTCTTCTCGAAACCTGTTCATAAAACACAAAAAATGAAACTAAATGAGAAATAACAAAATAATTAAGAAAATAAATTAAACTAACTAAAAGAATGTAAAAAGAGGAACGAAGCCACCCATTTGCTCTAGAATCCTTCAAGTATTTGTACCGTCCCCCCGGTAACGGTACCAAAATTTGATTATGCCCAAAGAATAATGCGACAGTTGTAGTATAGCTTTAGGGCGTCGTATCCATAGGAAGATGGAAAATAATTCAAAGAATCAAAAGCTAGGGTTTTGTTTATGTAAATGTAACGTGTCAATTGAAATAGAATTCAATTAACAATGTATAAGTTAAGGAAATTTAAATCAACATGTGAAGCAGTGAAGCGTTGAGATTCCCTCGATTAGATTGGATCAATCAACGTCAATTTTGCATGAAGATACTCAATTAAAGGTTTTTTCTATCCTAACACTATAATTGGAAGATTTACATATTCAAACCCCTCTTTAATTTCTTAAGAGTTTCAAATCTAGATTTCTTACACAACATAATTCCGCAATTGTTTATTGAAATTAGATCCAAAATCGATCATATACCTCAAGCATATGATAGTAAAACATCACACCAACAAATGGTTTGAAATTGAAAATCAATAAATACCTTGATCATTCGATGAAAAAAACTTAATTGAATTCATGAAAATCTAATATGAATTAACCCAATCTAAAACATGCCCAACAAACATAACAAATCTAATTCCAAAATTTTCAACAATAAAAAAAAAAAATTACATGCAAGAAAGAACGTTAAAAATAATCAAATCTGACCGAGTTCCTTCGTGGCTTCACCAATTAATTTAGTTTTCCATGGATTTCTTGAGCCAAACTTGAGAGAAAATTGATAGGAGATGGAAGAGAGGTGTTCTGGGATGAGATAAAGGCCTAAAAATGTGTGCCAAACAAGTTTCCATAAATGTCCGCGTCAAAATAGGAATCTCGGATCTCGCCCTCGAAAAATACTCATGCGGTCGCATGGTTATAAGCCATGTGATGACATGGTTCAACCAAAATGCCCCCATAAGTTTTCATGAGGTATCCATGCGACCGCATGGCTTTATAGCAATGCGACCGCATGGTTGTCACCATTTCCTCCACCGGACCGCGTTAAGTATTTTGGTCATAACTTTCACTCTCGATTGAGGTGATTGAAGTTGCCTTGGAAAGTTAAGTCAAAGGGCTACAAGTTTCTTCAATGTCATCTTCTAATTTGATCATTTATCATGTCAAAAAGGGGTCCCAATATAAGGATGAAAATGTAGCGTAACTTTTTTCGATTGGGAATTGATATATGATCAAACTTTGATGGTGTTTCATCCCTTAGACTTCTTTTCTCATCCGCTTGACATCTGACAATTTCAAATCTTCATCATAAGGTTAGACACAAGTTTAAAGTATACGCACTTTGGTCCCCAAACTTTCATTTACTTCCACTTTGGTCCTTTTTGCTCTTTTCTTCTATCTTCCACCTTTTCTACCAAAATGCAACCTGAATAAAACATAAATATAATGAGTGCATTTTGGTATCAAATAATCACATGAATGCAATAATTAAGATGGAGAAATATTATATTTTATACTCTTATCACACTCCCAACTTGCTTATTGCTAGTCCCTAGCAATTCAATGCAGAACAAGTAAATGAACGATTAGACTGTGGTACAAGTAAAATTATTAAATTCCAACTTAACCACAATTCATGTTTTTTTCAAACTCAACACCACAAGAACTTAACAATGCCATGATCCTCAGGATATCAAAAACATTGTACAAATGTGTAAGTGTGAAAAGTCGCAACCACCTCTTCAAATTCCGTAATATGCACGTATGGGTTTTCATTTTCAAGATTGTGAAAGGTGCGGAAGAGTTGGATCATTCCAGATTTAAGGTCTATATGTGGCATATTAGGTGGAAATATGATGCATGACGATATTGATGTGCATGTGGGATGGAAATAAACGTGCAAAGTCCTAGTTGGTGCCTCTTCATATTC